TAGTTATCTGGGAGATTATTTCTGCTTTGAATTTTTCTAGAGCCTCATTCATCTGTTTTGTTACTTCCTGTGCTATCAGTTCAGGGTGTCCAGGTGGTGGATTATCAGACTTTTCCACCTCGTTTTCCCCAGAAATTGCCTTTTGTGGGGTGGAAGTCTGAGTTTGTGACTTGCTTAAATGTCTTCTCATTTTTGTTTTTGGTACTGTCAGTTATAAGTCAATGAGTCTCAGTAAGCTAGTCACAGACCCATGAGATTCAGGCAGATTTCTGGCTGCAAGTCCCAGATTGAGCTCCCTGTCCTCCTGCAGGGTTGAACTCTGCAAGGTTCTATTACAGGTTCCAGCTGTCTTTCCCCTCAAATAGTCCAGGTTCAAATGGGAGGTGATGATCCCTCCAACTTACCAAGCATGGTGGTCTGGTGTGCCTATATTGCGGAGATTCTCTTCACCTTTCCAGTGGGCTTCAGTTTTCATCAGGGAGCCAGAGAGAGGCCTTCTGTTGTTCACTTCTGCAGCTCAGGACAATGGCCTTTATGTCCCCCTGTGGCTCTGTAGTGTGGAACCAGGTAGCTGCACAGCCAAGAGGCCAGAGGCGGGGATGGGAGGAAGGGGGTTGGCTGTTGTTACAGGGGCCCGTGTAGCCAAGCTGGCACTGGTGGGCCTGCCAGGGGAGGGGGGGGGTGTCCTCACAGTCTCCTGGATGCAAGTGGGCGGGGCAAGCCAGATGGAGCAGCCACCCACATCTGACTGCAAGGCCAAACTGGTGGCCGGTGGGCCTCTCTTTTTTGAATTTTTGGCAGCTGCTTTTGTTCAAGGGTGGGATAGGACAGAAGAAGGTGACAAAAATGGTACACGAACACTAAAATGCTCTTTTACTGCACTGATTTAATGGTCACACGGAATTCTGTTTTGGGCTGATCACTCATTCACCTCAGGGTCTGAGCCTAGCTCCAAGTCTGCTCCCCACAGGATAGAAGCTGAGGAGGGGAATACTCCTTTGACCAGGGATCCAGGACAGGAACAAATCAGAGCAACCATGAAGACTTCAAAGGAGATTTATTTTCTTTTTGAAAGGGCTGAGGGACTTTACAAGAGTGGGAAGCCAATAACTAGAAAGGAAGATAAATAAAATACAAAGCCAGTATGTTATGGCAAAATTCCAGAAAACACTGACAAAAATCTTTACAGTTTAAAACTGCATCACTTTATACATAATTACAAATTAATGTACAGCATTTGGGTTTTAACCCATCATTTAATAGGAGTTAGCACAGAAACGTTCATACAGCATTTGAGAACTGATGAGAGCAACACCCCCATCTTTCTGCTACAGGGCAAGTGACACTAGCACAGCCAGGCTCAACCGGGCTGGGCCTTGAGGAAAGCCAGGGCCAAGTCCTGCGAGTGTGCTGGGAGCCCCATCCCAGTGGATGGGGACAGCTCTGGGAAGGCCTGGGGGACAGGTTCTGGGCTTCCCACAGAGGCCCTGAGGTACAGCGGCTCCCCTTTCGGAGGGCAGGCTATCCTGGGCCAGTAGGGCTGCCTGTCTTCAAACCTCAGTGAGATGGAGAAATGACTGATGGCCCATCAGCCTCTCAACAAATTGCAATACATAAGCATGTGGAAAGGCCCTCCCCTGCCTTCCTTTTCTTCCTTTTCTGGCAGATTAAAAGACTTTTCAAACCCTGGCCAGCAGGTAGTAGATTCCAAAGCTCTGGTTAACTAGGAATGTTATGCTACAATGGAAGAAAAACTATGAACCTAAGCCCAACAGCCTGCCCTCCTGGTCTGAGGAAAGGTGAGTGGAGTGGGGCTGGAGGGACAGCCCAGGACACAGGTGCATCCCCAACAGGTCCTCCTGAGGAAGGAGGCACATGTTCCACTGCTCCACCCAGATGGTCACGTTTAGGCACAGGGGGTGGACACCTCCCGAGGTGCTTGGGACCACCTCAGAGGCACCCACTTTCTGGTCACAGAACCCCACTCCCCAGGACTGTCTACACCTTGCTGCTCTGGGCACAACTGTCCACCCATCCTCAGAGCAAACTTCAGCTCTGAGCAAATACCGAATCCTTGAGAAGAACTGGCAGTAGGAGAGCATTAGGGATGAAAGAATAAAATAAAAAGTTCTTCTATGGAGAGCATTTTTCTGGCCTACAAGGTTCTGTTTCCACTCTTAAGGCAAGAGCTATTTAATTAAGCTCTTATGCACTAAGGCCATCTCATTCTCCCCCAAGAAAGGAACAAACAAGACCCCAAAAGTCTCAAAAATACATGCTTACTAATATTGAGGCCTTGGGTGGGTAATAGGGGAAGATGCTCAAAGGGGCAGCTTTTAGTGGTACAACCCTGAGACTTGGGCAAGGACAGAAGGCAAGGTTTGTACCTTATCAAGACTTTCTTGAAAAGGATTTTCTTCCCCACAAGACAGCTCTCCTGGGGGCAGAGGGAATGTTGGCAAAGGCTGAATATGGGAATTTGCATGTTTTAACCACCTCCATTTTCTAAGAAGAAAACAAAGTTAACATGTTTGATTGTCTCAAAAATACAGCCAACTGAGGAGGGAGCTTTTAAAGTGCACATGTCACCCAACCAGGAGGACAACCACTGAGATGACTGTAACTTTTAGGAGGTGCAGTGTCCTTCTAGAAGTTCACTAGAAGCTGGAGGCTGGGACTACTTGCATGTCCCCCAGACTCAGTCATAATTTCAGGCATCTGATTTCTTTAGACTGAGGAAGAACCATGGCTTTCTAGCGTGGGGGCAGTAAGGGAAACAATCCAGGTCCCTGGAAAACCACCCCTGCTCACGGGAGAGAACCCCCCACCCTGGGGCTGTAGACTGGGGAACTAGAGCAGTTCTCCAGGTCACAAGCAGAAGCACCAGCAGCGGTAATCCCAGGAAATCCCAAGCACAGCATTGAATCCCAGAGGTCAGATCCAAAGGGGAGGCGAGAGGGGCAGGCATGTGAAAGCACAGTTCCTGGTAAGAGGTTCTCTTTCTGCACCAGTCTATTCCTGGAGGAAATCGGCAGCTCAGGGGAAGTGAAGACTCAACCTTCTGAGTCCCAACTTGTTCAACCAGAACCTGACCACATTGTTGAGTTAGAGAGGTGTGGGTACAGGTGAAATCACCCTTTTTACAATGACCTAAACCAACAAAGCAAGGGAAACATCACAGCTAGATCAAAATTGTGCTTGCAGGGATGCATAGTACCTTAGAGAGTACAGTGTGCCAGTGAGCATGTGAGTCAGTCTGCCCGTGCACAGGGCGTGGGTGCAGTGCCTTCCTCAGACTCCCATGGGGCTGGAGCCACCATGGATCACTCAGGGCCAGTGAGAAGGAAAGCAGCCTGGCTTCCTGGGGGTCTGAGAACAGTCATGACAGGTTCAGCTGTAACTCGGAGTTGTGTGGACTGGTAGAAGGAAGCAACTGACTTTTTGCTGTTTAGGGTATTTTGTTTGCATTGAAAGAAAATCAGCTGGGTTTGGCCTAAAATCTGTATCTGATGGGTGAAAGTTCTTATGACAAAAACGGGTCAAGGTAGCTCATAGGTGTCAAGTTTCCTAACCCTCAAGGAAGGAGACATCCCTTGGTAAAGTGAGTGGGAGTCAGGGGAAGAAGGCCACAGACCCCTCCCCAGCCCTAACCCCAGATTCCACCTGGATCTCAAGGCACTTGGAAGACAGGAGTGAGCAGTGCTGGCTGCTACTGCACTCTCTGCACTGATCAGCTAGTTTAAACTGCTGGGCTAGAACTGGTTCACCCTAAAAACAAAACACAAACACACACAAAAATAAATAAGACAAATTTAGGCTAAAAATTTAAACCAGATCTCTTTCAAATAAACTGAAAGATAAATATCTCCATCTGCAAGGCCAGCTTGCAATTCATCAACAAGCACCAAGTTACAGATTTTTGTTTGTTTTTAAAAAGAAATGTTCAAAGCCTCATGGTTTTGAGGGCCAAAAAGCAGGAACTGAAGGCCACCTGTGAAGCACAGAATTTCCAGGTCTCCTCCGTTAGGAGGCCAAGCGGCAGCACAGGGAGCCTCAGAGGGAACTCTTACCAAAGAGCTGGCCTGCGCACACCAGCGGTGAAAGTCTCAAGCAACCACAGATCAAAACACAGGGAGAAAGGGAGAAGAAAAACCAGGCAGCTTGTGTGAGATCTTGATAGTACAGGATAATTCATACTTGGATTTAAACAGTTTTTCAGGGAACCGCATTTTGCTGAGGGAGGCCTGATGCAGAATGAGCATGCTCCCTGCTGTGGGCCAGGTCCTCCCTCCATCACTACACAAGGCTTACCCCACACCTGAACCCATTGCTCGGCCAGTGGTCCTGAGGGGACCTTGCAGAGGCCACAGCTGGGTCCTGGGTGAGAGGGTGGCAGCTGCTCAGAGTGTGTGCCAGAAGGCACATTCTCTCCCACATGGAGGCCCAGGCAGCAGCTTCTCCCATGGAGCTGTTAGGAGGGCTCTTCTGAGTGGTTAGTGACAACCAAAAAGTGTCACACTCCAGGGATATGGATGAGATGCCTTTCTACTCCCTCTGTGCCTAGAACCTGTAGGCAAATATCTTGGACAGTCAGTATGTTTCTTCTGAATTTGATGAGAAAAACCTGGAAAACCAAGATCAAGGTAGAGATCATATGCTTTTTATCCACATCAAGATCCTTATCACTGGTTTCACAGATGTCTGTCACCCCTTCAAAAATGAAATGAGAAAAGGGTTGAGACAGGCAGAGTGGTTTAAAGGAACCCCATTTCCATAGGCTATGGGTTGAGGCTGTCCAACACTGCCTCTGGGCTGAGCTAAGCCGGGTCTCTGAATACATGCACAGATACAACCCTTCCTAGCTGCTGTCTGAGTCTGTTGTGTTCCCCACATAAAAGGCAGGCCCTTAGGGATTCCTGACATGTCCCAGACTATCCCCTGTACTTCTGGGCCCACAACTTTCAGTGTAACATCCTGGGAAGTCACAGATCACAGCTGGACTGGAGTCTGGGCTTCCTCCCACCCTAACGGTCAAGACAATCTGCTCCTTCTTGTGCAGGACCTGGGGTGCCCAGGAAGACTGGATGCTGGGGAGCAGTGGACGTCCAGTGTGGGTACTTATGCATGAGGGGCAGGAGGAGAGGCAGGCAGGCAGGCAGGCAGGCACTTCGGCCAGGTTTGGAGGGAGAGGATCAGCAGAAGATCTCCTCACCCTCTGCTGAGGCTTCTGATGCAAGGCCATCTGAAACCAAGAATGAAAAAGAAATCCTGAAAAGCTCCCTTTCTATCTCTTTCCTCCTCTTGGAAGTCTGCTGTGAAGCAAAAAGTATCTGGGCTCAGAGGCAGGGCACTTTCTACCCACCGGGGTAACCTCCATACTCCTACGCAGGTATCAGGGAGAAAAGGGCACAGGATGAGGTGGCATTCAGTACAGTGTAACTTCAGACTCTGGACTACTGACGCATTAGTCAACCTCTCTGGGCCCCAGTCTCCTCATTTCTCCTGGTCCCCAGGTGCATCTACTTCATAGAGTTGCTAGAGGGTCAAACTGTCAAATGCTGCCTGTTATTCCCAGTTACTGGGCTAGGTCTAGACAGACAGGAGGGCCTGCATTAAATCATTTGAGTGAGTTCCAGTTTCTGTCTGATGCCACAAAACCGGAACTTGTATCCTCTACCTGGCATGCGTGCTGCGCAGAGGAGGTCCTGACACTCACAGAATGTGCATTCCATTCTTAGCCACTTAAGATCAGAACGATGACAGCTTGGCTTTCCTGCATCTGAGCTGTGCCCCCTTACTTTCAACTGCTGTGCTGCTAAAACCACCCCCTTAGAACTCAGTCACTGAAGGGTGTGGGGGACTCACCACCAGGCTGGGAGCGGGTTCCTTTTTTGTTCTTTTTTTTCTCCTTCTTTTCCTTCGGCTTAGTCAACCCGAACAGGCGGGTGGAGGTGGAGATGCCCGACAGGGCCTGGCTCTGCCCCTCTGGCACTTTGTTCGTCTGGCTACTTGAACTCAGTATGTGAAAAGGCCCCTTATCTTTGTGTGTCCGAGAGATGCTATTCCTTTTTGGGGACACTGAAAGTTCTGAGTCCAATGACCCTGACTTGGTCACTGAAGGTACAGACGGCAAGGTTGACTCCTCAGGACTGGGAAGGAAGGACGGGATCCTCATGAGCTTGGTGTGCTGATGTGATACCTGCATATGTCCAAGAGAAGGCTTTTTCAGCCAGAAGCCCTTGTGCTCACTCAATAATTACTGGCTGAACTCAATTGGTCAAGTGGCCCACCCACTTCCCGGGACTCTACACAACTTGTAAGAAGGTTCAGAACTTGCTTCATTTGCTGGCCTCCTCCAGGTGTTAAAAAATATCACCTTCAATACCATCAATATTTTTATTGCAGGCACTAATATCAATAACAAAGACTAATAGTACCTTTAATGGGGCAGCTTAGAAAAGATCTCCCATTTCATTCCCTGAAGAAACAAGAAAAGCTACATATTTAGCTCTCCTGATTTACACAAGGATATAGACAATTATTTCAGGGCAAAGAGATTATCGACCTCTCCAGGTTAAGAGGGTAAATCCTGGCTATAGGTTAAACCAAAGATAAGGAGGATCATCTCTTTTGTGCTATCTCAGTTGCCTGGGAACCTTCCATTGTCAAAGCCCCACTGATTTTTTGGGGTCTTTTTTTTTTTTTTGTACCAGGGATTGAACTCAGGACCTTGTGTTTTCGAGGCAGGTGATGGAACCACTGAGCTTTATTGGAGGGAAGTGGAATCCATCTTTAACAGAGCAATTTGTTGCTACTGGTTATTCTAAAACTTCTGCAGAAAGCGAACAATCCCCCCCACCCTGGAAAATATTGCTTTAATTTCCTTTTGTGGTCCAAGGTCAGTCAATCAAAGAAATGTCAACCCGATAGGAGTTTTAAAAGACAGGGAGATCCATGTACAACCAGGCTCTCCATCTGCCACATGAGTCCACAGTCCCGAATAACCATCGAGTATCACTCAAGTAAACACAAGAGTCAATATGCTGAGTAACGGACAGCCTGTCTGCACAAATAGCAGCTCGGCAAATCAGGCATTAAACTGGGCCCCAGCAGGAGTGGCCACCTCCACCCACTTGCTGGGCTGGGCTCTGTCCCCTGTCACCGATGCTGCTGACCCTCTTCACGAGTCCTTCAGGAGCTTTGACAGCTGAGCCACTGACTGCTGGCTCTGACCACAAGCGCTAAGTTTCAGAGGCTCCTTTATCCTTGGTGTCTCATCAGGCACAAGTTCATTTAGGTGGGGGCACAGGGTAGGAGAAGTGCCAGTCAGCTGGAAAGGGCCACTGACTCCTCTGTCCCCCCCATTCCCACTCTCCTCTTCAACCTTCTGGAGATGCCGAGATAAGAGACTCCCTGCCACAAACCTGGGGCAAAGTAGGATAGACAGGGGCATGGCCTCTCTCTTGCTTCCTCACAGCTGAGCTGCCAGCCTCCCCACTCAGCAGGGCTCCCCATACCTGACACAGGTCCCTGTCCATCTGCCTCTGGCTGAACTGCTCCATATCCCTTTGCAGCTGCTCCCGCTCCCGCTCCAGCTGCTTCTGGGCTGTGCGCAGCCGCTCCAGGTCGCACTGGTACACGCCCTTCTTCTGCTGGAGCTCCTCCCAGTCCCTGTCCAGCTCCTGCTGCCCCCTCTGCACCTTCTCCTCCCGCTCGGCCAGCCGTGCTTCCCGCTCATGAAGCTCCCTCTCCCGGGCCTCCCACTCGCGCTCTCGCCGGCGCTTTTCCTCCAGGTGCTGCGCCTGCTGCTTCTGCAGGTTGGCCAGGTCCTGCCGCTGCTTCTCCAGGCTGCGCTGCTTCTCCTGCTCGATGAGGGAGCTGGGGCGGGACATGCTCCTCGTAAGCGCCCTCTCATTCAGCACCAGCTTCTGGTCCTCGATGTAGCTGTCCTGCTGCAACACCACACCCTGAGGGAGGTACAAAGAGGACAGCTGTGTTTCGCTGGCTGGAGGACAGCCACCTCCTGGGACCTGTCCTGACCGCACACCTTGGGGCGCTGTGCCAGACTGAGCCCCCCTTAGATTTTCAAGGTGGTTCTGGTAACAAAATGCTCCAGGGTACTCTTGGGCAGTTAGCACATGTAAATACCAGAGGTGTAGGAACCCTTAGTTTGTAGGTTTGTATCTGTGGGTAGGACCAGGGGTGAGGTAAGTGTGCTGCAGGGAGAGGGAGGGAGGAACAAGACAGGTTAACTCCTCAAGAAAGGAAGTGGGAAGAATTTGAGGAGATTCTGGGGAAGTACTACGCAGTAATAGTTTGGGGAGGGCCACCCTACCCAAATACCACACAGAGAGATGGAGAAGAGAACCGTATCCTGAAGGATCTAGTGATCTCCAAATGCGTGGGAGACTGTTTACCAAGCCGAGTCTCCAGCCCGCAGCTGCTCATCACCTCCAGTCCCTCAGAACCCCACCCACTGCCCTTGTGTCTTTCCTCACCCCAAGAGCCAGGCTTCTCCAGCCTGGGACCCTGTTTACCGTAAGCGACTAACAAACTTCATTGCTCACAACAGAACCTGTTCTGTCCTCTATGCAAGGAAGTGTGTGGTGAAAGAAGCCCTGTACCTGCAGGGTGCTGAGGAGTTCGTGCAGATGAACAATGCTCCGGACAACCTGCTGCAAGAGGAGCAAAATGGAAACATTCACTTCAGGACTTCATGAATCTCAGAATCCATCATGCTACATGGTTATAACACCCTTAAAAACTACAAGGGGCTCCGATTTCAATGAACTCTTTTAAAAGTGAAAGTACCAAGCAAGGGGAATAAGCAAGTAGAAGCCAAAAAATCCCCAGGACCAAACAAAGCAATGTGTTTGTAGGAGGGATATCACGAACCATAAAAGTATTACAAAGTTTCCAATGTCTAAAGAGACTAGAGTAAAGGTGGCATATAAATGTAACAGAACAGAAAGCCTACAGAGGAGCCTTAAGAATTTAGTATATAAATAGCTGGTCTAATCAATGGGGAAAATATATTAAATTGATGAGAAAATTGCTTACATTTGTAGAAAACATTAAATTGGGACCTTGGTTTACATCAACAAAGGATTTGAATAGATAATATGTTAAAGGTAACAACCGAAGCGTAAGAGGTAGAAGAAAATGAAAGAGAAGGCTTTCCTAACACAGACACAAGTAAAAAAACTAATATGGAAAGCAAAGGGAAAACAAAGTAAAAAAAAAAAAATTATTAATTAAAAAAAAAGTTTGGGGCTGGGGATTTAGCTCAGTGGTTCCGCTGCCTGCCTCGAAAGCACAAAGTCCCAAGTTCGATCCCCGGTACAAAGAAAAAAAAGGTTTGCCAGGTGTGCCTGTAATCCCAGCTACTCAGGAGGCTGAGGCAAGAAGACCTCAGTTTGGGCCAGCTTGGGCTGCATAGCAAGGCTCCATCTCACCAAAAAAAAGGCTCTTGTGGATTAGGGGAAAGAGAAAAGAACTGCATGTGTTTCTGTACCAAGGCATTTACAAAAGAAATACAAATGGCCAATTATATGAAACGTTAAAAATAATTCAGGTCCTGGGAGGAGAAGTAGCTCAGTCACAAGTAGAGCACATGCCATTTTGCATGCACAAACCCTGGGTTCAATCCCCAGTACCAAAACAGTAAAGAAAGAAATGCCAATTGAAGTTATCTAACCAACAAAATAGCAATTAAAAACACAAACATTTTTAACCTAATGATAAGATACCTCCCACCCCAAATACTGGGGAATGAACCAGGACCTATGCACTGAGCTACAGCTCTGTCCTACTCTGCCTTATATTTAAATTTTTTTTTTTTTTGGGGTACCGGGGATCGAACTCAGGTCCTTGCACTTGCGCAGCAGACAGTGAAACCACTCAGCTAAATCCCCAGCCCGTTATATTTAAATTTTAAGATAGGCTCTTGCTAAGTTGCTTGGATTGGGCTTGAACTTGTGATCATCCTACCTCAACCTTCCCTTTTTTTTGTGATGCTACTGGGGATTGAACCTAGGGTCTTGTGTATGTTGGACAAATGCTCTAACACTAAGCCCCATTTACTCTTTATATAGTTCATAATGTCCTTACCTCACTGTTTCTTTTAAGCATAAATACTAGGTTAGCATTTCCACCCTATAAAACAAAAAATTGCATTTAAAAACATGATCTTGATGTGAAAGTTATATCCAATGCATTCCTAAGTTATGCTGTAGTTTCCTATTTTCTCTTTTCTACCCAAAGATCTGAGGTTGAAATATTTATTACAGAAGTTTTATTAATAGATCTGGGTGGTGGAGGACCTAAACAAACTTAATGAAACTGGTCCTGGCAGGACCATGGTAGCTGAGGAATGTAAATGTGCTTTAAGCTGGGCAGGCCAAGGAGCCAATAACCTGGGACTAGCAACTAACTGTACAGTTTGTTTTTAAAAATGTGATTTCTCCTGAAAGTTGCAAGTCAGGTATCCAAAACCAGACCAAAGTGGAGTAATTTCAAAGTTTCAAGGAGGCTCATAACATATTTAAAAAAAAAATACCTTTTTAAGACCGCTATCTGACTCTGTTCTCCTAAGATCTTGGCCATCATCTCCTTCTTCTTTCTCAGCTCCTAAACACAAGAAAAGGAATAAACGTAGATAGTTCAGGCATTTCTAAATCTTATTAACGCAGAAAAAGTGGAAGCCACTTGGTGGCAACTAATCCATGAATAATTTCAGTGATGCAGAAGAACTACAAGCAAGAAGAAAAACAATATCATTTATCTGAAATGCTTGTGACCAGAAGCATTCTGGACTCCGGATCCTGGAGTATCTGTACACACTACTGAGTTTATCTTGGGTGTGTATCCGAACAGGAAATTCACTGTTTTACATACACTTTTATACAGATTGCCAGAAGGTAATTTTAAACAATATTTTTAGTGTGCCTGCATTCTGACTTCAACCTGTCACATGAGGTCAAGTGTAGAATATTTTCCTTGTGGCATCATATTGGCATTTAAGAAGTTTTGGACTTTGAGGCACTTTGAATTTTGAATTTTTTGTATTAATGATGATTATATTATTATTCAAAATGAATGTCTAACAGATTTTTGTTTTTGAGACAGGGTCTCAAATTTGCAGTTCAGGCTAGCCTTGAACTCACTATGTAGCCCAGGCTGGCCTCGAACTCAGTTATCCTCCTGGTTCAGCCTCTAACAGATTCTTAGTGTTTAAGAATCTCTTTAAAACATGCACTGATGAATGGGAAAGGAGTTGGAGCTGCCAGAATCCAGGTCATTTTAGCTGTGTGGAATAGTCAAGGATTGCTTACCCTTAGACATGTTCATCTGATGACTGTCAAAGCCCCCGAAGGTCTCTGCTCTCCGGGGCAGGGAAACAGGGCCAATCATGGCTTCTTGCTCCACAGTGCTGCCGCCAGCCTGTCCAAGTGTGCCTCCCAGGCCTCCGCTCACCAGGCCCTGAAGGAGCTCCACTGCAAAGAGGAAGATATTTGGTGCCTCCCAAGGAAAGAATACAACTTGCCAAAAGGATCAAACCTGAGTAATAATGCCTCTAAATACTGCTGTGAATGTGAAGGAAACAAGACAAACTGCTGTGTAAATAAAATCCAACCTACAGTTCAAAGGGAAACTACATGGAACAGAAGGGGATGGCATGCCAGTGATGACTACTACTACAATTCAGAGTACCTGTTCCTTGTGAAGGGAAGGAGGTGTGATAGGGACAGGGCATTTGAGGGGGTTTCGGGGTATCTGGACACATTGTATTTATTAACCTGGGTAGTGGGTACAAGGATGTTCACCTGATAATTTGCTAAGGTGAGATATTCGTTGTGGCTAATTTTCTGTATTACAGTAACAAAATTAACATCAGGGTATAAAACACTACAGGAGAGGATGGGGGCAGGGCTGAATGTAAATTACCCTCATTTATTGCACTCTTCATTAAAGGCCCTCCTTTGAGAGCCTCCTCTGTGTTGGAGCGGAAGAGAGTTCTAGGGCTTTGAGTTGGGGAGCAATCATCTGGCAAGGGGGTGCTGCACTCAGTCATGTCCCGGAAAATTGTCTCCTTCTCTTCCAGCAGGAGGAGGATCTGCTGGTCCTTCTGTTGAAGTTGTTCTGCAGAGTGGATGGAGAAGGCAACGTTTTTTGTTCAGCGTTAAGATACCATTAAGACGTGAGTGCCACCTTGTGGTAACTTAAGGAAAGGGTCTAGACAGAAAATGGCTGCCTGCCCCTTCTTTTTCAACCATAAAGGCAAAATCAAATTTCTGCTCTGTAATTTCTATTTAGAAAGCCACCTTGGATCTTTTTCACAAAGACTGGCATATTCAACATAAGTATGCCCTCTTTTTCCACTTTCCTGCCGTTCTTCATTTCCCTGGCCTAAGTCCTGCAACTTCACAGCTGCTCATTCCTGGACCCTCCCTTAGTTCTAGGTCTGTTAGTGATGACTCTCTCCTTTGAGGACATTTGTTTTCTTCCTCCCATCTGTATGGGTCTGCCATCTGCAACAGGGGCACAGCTGGGTTCTTCCCTTGCTCCATCCTGGGCTGCTTTGCATACCTTCAACACTTTCCTGCTGAGATTTCAATCACTCCCCTGGATTCAGGTACCACCTACATGGTGATAATTCACAACTAGCATCCTGAATCCCATCTCCTTTCCTGACCACTGGCTCCTACCCTCAAGTGGCTGTCTCTACCAAGATGTCTTGTTTTTGGCATCTGAACCCAACCTGTATGTCAGCCTTGCTGCCCTGCCTCCCCACTGCAGCCTGTGGTCTCTTTCTCAGTCAGCAACTTTTCACTTTCCAGGTTACACATGTTAGAAACTCGGAGAGATTTTGTTTCCTTGCCCTGTGTTTCCACCACTCACACCCAGCTGGCCAGTTTTTTTTTTTTTTTTTTTGGTGCTGGGGATCGACCTCAGGTCCTTGTGCTTGCCCAGCAGGCAGTGGAACCAGAGCTAAATCTCCGGCCCTGGCCAGGTTTTAATAACTTTATTTCTTTTTTTTTTTTGGTACTGGGGGTCGAACTCAGGACCTTGCGAGGCAGGCGGTGGAACCACTGAGCTAAATCCCCGGCCCAATAATTTTATTTCTTGTATCCCTCTCCAGCTTATTTCTCAACTACCTTATATCCTAACAACCTCCTAACTATTCTTTGTACTTCCAGCTGTTCCCTCCCTCCCTCCTTCAACTCTCCTGATCTGATGGGCTTTAACACATGTTAAAAATCATTCCTGTATTTCCTTCGAGAGCTGGTGCTTTCCCAGCTTAAGCTCCTGTCACTTAGCCCTGACCTTCTAGAGACATGAAACCTGCCATTCTTCAGCAGTTTCATCAAGTCGTTTTCATGTCTGCACACAATCCTTACTGGTTGAGACAGTTTGCTTTTCAGAAGTAATCAGGTGTCAGCTTCTCTGTGGGACTAACTAGAGGCAGGATGAACAGAACCCACACAATTCCCATGAACCACCAGGTGGTCTCCTTTGCTAGAGTGTGAGCTTCCTAAGGGCTCTTCTCAAATCTCTGAATCCTAGCAGTACACCTAGCCAGGTGTACAGATGCTAAGAGAAGGAAGATTTTATCCTTGTCATCCTATTCACGGGCCAAAAATTTGATACAAATCTGGCCGCCGACTAAACTTACCCATCGTTTTTTTCCTTTGATGACGCTACCATTCTGAACAGCTTGAAGGAATAACTAAACTCCTTGAGAGCTTACACTTCTTTGACTGCCAGCCTGATTTTTACTCAAAGTACAGTTTTTACTTCAGAATACTCAGTAAGCCACAGGCAAAGTGGGAAGAATGCCAGGCCCTACTGTTTTTAAAACAAGAATCAGGATTCCGGCTCAGTGACTGACTGTACTTCCAGTTGTGTGGCTTTGAGATCCTGCACTGTTTCATATGTACAATAGGGATTAATACCTGCCTTGCAGTGAGGTTAACAAGACTACCTGCAACAGCAGATCCTCGACAAGCAGTAGTCCAACATAACCAGGAAATACTTTCTCCCAAGCCACCTCACAACTCATCTGTGAATGTACAGATAATTGAGAAAGCCAGGGACTGGCAGGAGAATTAAAACAGATTAACCCCAAAAGTCTTTTCCTCAAATATCTTCTGTTTATTTAGATGTTCCCCCAAAATTTGGGAAATTCTTTGTGACAGGTACGAAGAATACTAGCAGGGTTTAAGAGCAGTGATACTGAGATAAGACAACCAACGTTCCCTTTACCTAGCAGTGGATCATTCACACAGCCACTTTTTACCAGGACTCTTGTGTTCAAAGCGGTTCATCTCCCTGCTGTTGAGGCTGCTGAGACAGCCCTGAACTGAGTGCAGCCAGGGCCTCTGGACACCACTAGCAGCCATCTGCAACTGCAGACATTCCACAGACAAGGGCCTCATACCACTTCCACCAGTTTACCTTTTAGCTCCCGAGTTTTGGTGTCCAACATTTTCTTTTCTTCCTCATTCTCACTGGGAATTCCCTCATCTTCATCTCTGTTCCTAACCAACCAAAAGAAAACAAGATGAAACAACAAATTCCTAAGATGTCACTAACTCTGCTTACTGCCCAGTGTATTATGGCACACAAAGGTATTAGGAGGGCTAGGTGGGCTGGGCCCTGGTGTTTCGCTTACAGGGTGTTGATTGTATCCTGAATGATCTGAATCCAGCTGTTCCGCTCTTCTTTGGAGCTGGCATGGACCTCCACCATCTCTGGGTCTTTTACCCCCATACTGATTAGGAACAGACCTTTCTCCTCACGTGCCACTTCTCTTACAATCAGCTTCTTTAAAGAGATCACTGTTGATTTCTGGTCCTGGAAAAATGGGAGAGGGCAAACAGAAGAAATGTATACAATGTTTTAACTCTTAAGGATACATTTCACCTAATGTTAGTTCAGATGCTGCTTTAAATGCATATAGTTTTAATAAAAATGGTAGTTTTAGGATAAAGAGAAACATCTCATTATTTCATGCAAATTTTAACAAATAGAAGATTTCCAAAAAAAGGAGATGATCGTTTATGGCCATAAAGGTTCTAGTGATGTTTTCTACATGATGAATCTTTCCAAGTTCCCCACAGAAATACTGGTCAACAATTTCATACATAAGCATCATTTTGGGTGTGTGTGAGAAATACTCCAGTGACAGATTTCTTTTTTTTTTCAGTGACAGAGTTCTAACTAAATCAAATAAGCAAATATGTTCAGGGTACGCAAAAGGATCAGGAGGGAACAGGAAAATAATTTTGGCAGTAGGGAGAAACAACAGAAAACCACAAAGGTTTATAAGAGATTACTGAGATGACTCTGTCCTGAATAAATTAATTTTCAGAAAGTGGGCAAGCCATAATAGAGTGTTTACATTCCATATCTAACCTAGCTTTTCTGAATACTATTAATTCTGAACAGAAGAAAATAACAGCTCAGCTTACCAGTGATGCAAAGATGTATTTCTGGTCTTTTTCTTGAAGGAAAACTAAAATGTCAGTGAGCAGAACTGCCTGAACCTCTGGAAAGTGGAAATGGGAAAAGAGAACAATGACTACTTAACAGTTAATCAAAGTCAGGGTTTTACTGAAGGGTATTCAGCGACACACCCCATGTTCTAAGATCACACTCCATCCCAAGGCAACTGGTTTGATGGTTCTGTATAATTCAGATCTGGATATCAGACTTTCACAGTCATTTAAAAATGTGGCTCACCAGGGGCTGGGGATTTAGCTCAGTGGTTCTGGCACCTGCCTCACAAGCGCAAGGTCCCGAGTTCGATCCCCGGTACCCAAAAAAATTAAAAAACAATAAAAATGTGGTTCACCAACAAAGCCTTGTCTCAGAAAAGCTTAAGTACTCAGTCCTGAGAAAATATATATTAAAGGCAAAATTTTAAGAATGAAATACTTTTGATTTTCAAAACTGGACTTCTTCAAGCCTGGCATGGTGGCATAGACCTATAATCCCAGCACTGTGGGAGGCTTAGGCAGCAGGGATCATAAATTTTGAGCACAGTCTGAGCACTTTAGGGACTTAGTGTGACAAAAAAACGAGGGGTTAGGGATGTAGTGCACACCCTAGTGCCAAAAGACAGACACCAACAGATGTTAAACATCAATCTATAGCAACATATTCACCAAATATTGTTAGTAATTCTTTCTCAAACTGATTTACAGTAACAGGAAACAGCAACCAGGAAAGCTGCCCAAAGGTGATGCATAGAACTATCTAAGTCTAATGAAAAGGAGACTTCTTTGATACCCCAAAAGAGTAAGAATGGCCTCCAGACACACCCTGTGGCCTCATAAGTAAAAACAAATACAGGGTCTACCCCCAACTCCCACAAGTAGTAGTCCACTCTTCTATTTCTCTATCCCATGGCAACAGCTCTTTTCTCCTCTTCTTTAGAACTAAAACCAAGGGGATAGGTGTATCTCGGAATGCATTCCTAGCATGTGTGAAGCCCTAGATTCCATCCATAGCAGCTCCTTCTCAAAAACAAAACAAAGCAAAACAGAAGAATTTGTCATTGCTCCCTTACAGACAGTCTGACATCTCCATGCCATCTACTGAGAGCTAACAGGCTAACCCCTATGTATATCTTCACTCTGGAAAGTGGAGCCTATGACTCCTTTGGGTAAAAGGATGGAAATAATTTACACAGCTCCTCCTGTTTTTTTTCTTTAATTCTGCTCCAGCTAGAATCCCTTTTCCATGGAATTGACTGTAAAGCTATGAAGAAATGGAAGTAAGGATGTTTGCTTCCTAGGGAAGTCTAACTCCTCAGCCTAGACTACAGTAATTTTCCAAGCACTATCAGTTTTGACAACTTTATTTTTTTACTTTTAAATAATTCAGGTGTCTGCCAAAAAAAAAAAAAAATCAAAAACACAAGTTTATATGATCACTGTCAGTGGATGAGAGAAAAACAATCCCACCCCTTTCAAAGGGGACTCAACACAGTAATGGCTGTTCTTGGCATGAGTTCACTTAGGGGTGAAAATGACTAAACGCCTGGTCCTATCTCCCCTGGAGGTATCTCAAACAAAACCTACCATTTTGGCTTGACCACAACTCTACTGCAACAGCTGGAATCCATCAGTTTTAATTTTGGGAATGAATAAACTTCCACATAAAGCAAGTAATAAAGCACCAGCTCCAAACAGCAGCAGCGCTAGAAATCCAGGTCCTTATAAGACAGAGCAGATTTTTCTAAACTGTCAGCTGCTTAAAAGACAATTTCAAAGGGGCAGTGTGGAAAGAGGCCAAAGTTCAGGATCATCACAGAATAGCTGGCTGGTGGAAGCAAGGGCTGTCTCTTGTCTCTGATGTGATCCTGCCTTCATTTCCGAGCCTTCCATTGCACTGTAGGCTGGGCCACCACTTTCTGAGTCACTCAAGAGCTTCCTGAGACCCTGTCACTTCTGATAGGCTCTAAACCCCTGCCCAGAGTGCACCCCTTTCCTACTTAAACCCCTATGGTGAATGCTTGGCCCACACCCACTGGGGTAATGCCCGTCAGCCCTGCAGTCTGGAGTGTGCTCCACCACAGTGAGGCCTAGGAGTTCCTACCGGCCTGCTATCCAATGCCGCTGTCATTCACTTGATACCTGTCTGAGAGGCCCGGCTGCCTACCATGGGTTCCTAGCCCTTCCCACTCCATGCTTCCACCTTATTCTGCCCAGGACCAGGATCACTTTCTCCCTACCTGCTAGAAACCTTCCTCTTCATCCTTTAAGACTTGCCTCAACTGCTGTCCTCACCTGTCTTCTACTGCAGCTCTCATCACTGGCCAGCAATTGCCTCTTTTTAAGTCTCTTCATTCTGATTCCAACATCATTGATGCTAGAATTCAGCTGACTGCCTGGGACTTCTGTTCTAAGCATGCTGAGACTCTATATCAGGGACACCTGGGTACACTGAGAGCAGTTACTACATCACTACACCTCAAAGCCCAGAGCAGCACACTCCCCTCCACCTCCATCTATGCCACTGGGGCTGAGCGGCTGACTGGTCCTGTTTTGTGTCCTCAGCTTACTGAGGCCAGTGAGAAAGGGTAGTACACTCAAGGCTGCTAGTACAGCCAGAGCTCACAGAGGCCCATAGAGTACAGGTGGGTGTGGTTCCCTGGCAGAGCACTTGCCTAGCACAACAAAAACAAAACAACTTCTCCTTTCTTTAATCTACCTAGGTTGACCATTTGAAAAGCAAAGATTAAAACCAAAAGGGTCTCAGACAAAGAAGTAAAAGCAGCAAATAAACATATGAAAAAATGTTCAGTATCACTGGTCATTTGAGGGATGCCGATGAAAACAAGCTGAGATCCCACCTCACCCCAGAAAGAATGGCTGCTATCAAGAAATCAACCAATAACAAATGCTGGTAGGGTTGTGGGGAAAGAGGAATCCTGCTCCACTGTTGGTGGGAGTGTAGACTGGTGCAACCACTGTGGAAATTAGTATGGAGATACCTCAAAGAACCAGGGCTAGAGGTCCCATTTGACCCAGCTATTCCCCTGTTGGGGATCTTCCCCAAAGAATTAAAAGAATCATACCACAGCGATATATGTGCACCCATGTTTATAACGGCACAGTTTGTAATAGCTAAAGCTTGGAAACAGCCCAAGTGCCCATCAACTGCAAACTGGATAAAGATGTGGTTCTTTTATAAAATGGAGTACTACTCAGCCATAAAGAACCAGAAACTAGAGACATTTACAGCTAAATGGATGCATATTGAGGCCATACTCTTAAGTGAAATAGGACACACGTGTAAATAGCGAATAGTTTTTCTAGTGTGAGAAACTGAAAGTGTAAATAAGGATTAAAATAATTAAAATGAATAATTTATAATTTGAAATAGGAAGAAAAGGTCCAAAGGGGTAGTGGAAGTGAGAGGGGAAGGGGAAAGGAAAAGAGGGAAAGGAAAAATTATGAGAAAAGGAAAAAATGGAAACAAAGTCTTTATAAATAGGGAAGGGAGATACATCATGTATGGGTACAAGTACCTAATGATAAATGTAAATGTACTGTATACCTAAAATGTACCAATAAAAGAATTTAAACAAAAAAAAGTGGAAAATAACTTACTGTACAAAAAATTAAAGGATATGCATATCATAAAGTGTAATAAGGTAGCTGATATGAGTTAAATTCACTTTTCTCTATCTCAGAAGTCATAAATCCCTCTAACATCTCTAGGAACAAGTGATATATTTTAATTTCAGACTTCTATCAACTGTCACTGACTGTCTCTCCCTCCTGGAAATTGCAATTACTTTGCCACAATCACAACCCCACAGTGTCTGCTCACCTCTTGGAAGGGAGTATGCATTTAAACAGCTTGCAAGTTGGTATTAATCTTTTTTGAGACAGGATCTTGCTATGTGGTTCAGGCTGGCCTTGAACTCACTATGTAACCTATACTGGCCTTGAACTCATGGCAATCCTCCTGCCTCAGCTCCCAAGTGCTAGGGTTCCAAGTGTGTGCCACTACACCTAGATTACAAATTGGTATTAATCATATCCTCTTTTTAAAAACTGTTATTTTCCTTTTTTCTTGGCTGCATCATTTCCTTTTCTTCTTGTATTTCATATGATTTTTGTAAACTATCGCAAAACTAGTCCTTTCTGATAGAAAATCTGGTGATGGGTTTCCAACAAAAGCACTTGGATTCTCCCTAATCTCCTGAGCCACAACAACTTAGACAGAAGCAAGTGGAGCTTTACCTTTCAACCTTCCTGCTGCACTCTTCAGAAACACACTACCATCGCGCACCAGCTTCTTCCGCTTCAAATCCTCCTTGGCAAACATCTGACCACTCTTCATCCTCATGATTGACTTGCTATCTGTCTTTGTATAAATCTCATTGAGACGTACTTTCTTTTCGTAACTTGCCACTTTGCTGTCCACCGCTCCAATGACATCCTTCACCAGGCTCAAGGACTGAGCCAGGTCTTCCTGCTCCACTTCATTTTCTTGGGAGGAACAACAATGCTGTTTTTAATGGCTCCTTTCAGACCAGAGTAAGAGAAGAGATTGTGCCTTCCTAGTCTACCACACCATTATTTTCCCTCTGAAGTTATGCTATGAGAGTGAAACTAAAGCAGCAGAGGTTACGGGCCCATCTCTCTGGCTGCCATAAATTTAATTCTAAAGAAAAAAGCACTCAATGGTATGGATGACATGCAATTACGTGCTCTATTCTAAAATAAAAGAAACCATTCTTAGGGAGGAAGAGTAATAGAGAGAGGAGCAACATGTTATTTATATCTTTGTTTTACCTAATCTTTTTTTTTTTTTTTGTACCAGGCATCAAACTCAGGACCTTGTGCTTGCGAGGCAGGCGGCAGAAGCACTGAGCTAAAACCCTGGCCCTGTTTTACCTAATCTTTAATGTAATTACTTCATAATCTAACTGGCTGGAAGCAGGAATAGCCAAGAGAGAGAAATACTGATTAAATGAGAAACAGCAGCAATTCTAGACTTGAGAGATGGTGGGACTTGTCTCCCAGGGCAGTCTGATAAGGGAAGTCTGGATGGAGTCAGTGAGTGCTTCCTTTCCTTCTTGCTGTCACCCACTCAATGTCCAGTGACAACATTCCCAGTGTTAAATCAAAAAAAGAATTTTCAAGATGAAACACAGGACCTATCAGTCTATGAAACAGCTCTTCTGAAGTGGTCTCTAGTGCTACTGGACACACAGGAGCAGACCACTGGTCTACAAGACTAAGTTTAAAAATGAGACTCACCTTTGGTACACTGCAATATTCGCTGGAATAAAACTGGATACTTGGTGATCCGCTGGGTTACAAGTAATATGCATTCCGGGATTCCCAGCCTCCTTACCACTGAACTGCTCATCTTCTTCTACAATGGGATAAACAAACTATTAGGGACTATATAAGGAAGACGACCACCTAAAACCAACAATGATGCATTATTCCTGACAATGATGGAGGCTTCCATGTATACCTTTACAAAGGCCTGAAAACGCTTATCCTTTGTATAAAGGTCTTTGAAGTAGTTTACAGACTGATTGTGCTGCCCACAAAACTTGCCGTATGTCTTCTTTAAGCGTTCTGCATTCTCACCCAAAAACTGCAGAGAAAAGAGAACAGTGATTATGCTGTAACTCAGTGTAAATTTATATTACTATTTTGTAAAAAGTTTCTACTCTATTTGTAAAAGCCAAGAGTACTTCCTTGTAAGTTTTCCTCAAAGATTAAACTAATACAGCAGCTTTAGTAAACAGTTTGTGCTTTATCAAAAGCATACATAAACATACAGTTCTCATAAGACCTAGCAATTTCACTCCTAGATGTAGACCCCCAAACATACAATGAGCATAAATTTATATGCCAATGTTCATGGCAGCAGTATTCAGAATAGTATCCAGGTGGAAATAATGTGATTATTAACAAATAAAAGATGCTATCCATGCAATGGATTATTACTGGGCCATAAGAATGAATCGTGCTATAATTTGTGATGGACCTTCAAAGCATTAGGCCAAGTAAAAAACCATTCACAAAGGACCACACTGTTTCACAAGGACAAAAATGTGTATTAGTGGTAGCCTAGGACGAGCACAGTTTGGTGTTTGTGGCATATGTGGATGAGTACCAATGAGTGTAGGGTTTGGGGGATGGATACTGGGGAATGAACCCAGGGCCTTTGGATTGAGCTACATCCCCGGGCCAATTTTTATTTTTTGAGACAGGGTCTCACTAAGCTGCCAAGGTGGGGTTCAAACTTGTAGTCTTCCTGTTTCAGCTACCCAGAGTGCTGGAATTTATAGGCGAGTATAGGTTTATAGGTTTTCCTTTTAGGGTGATGAAAATGTTTTAAAACTAACTGTGGTCATACCTGCCCAATTGTGAACATACTAAAAACCATTTAACTGTACATTTTAAATGGGTGGATTGTATGGTGGATGAATTTTATCTCAATAAAGCTGCTACATATATTTAAGAAATAAAAACAAATTCTTATTTACCATCCACATAAACACTATAAAATGTTTTCTTCCACTTGTTATGAATACAGTAGAAAATAACAAGGTTCATTAGAAATTTTTCATGTGACATAAGTCTTAGAAATTCAACTTTAATAAATTAGATACTGTAGATACCAGAAACGGGCTTCATTATCTAGCGATCTGCTTATCCAACTTCCTTCAGGCAGGCAGTTCTAATAATTCTATACTTGATCTTAGCCAAAAGGCCGAGAAGTGATAATTCTAATAATTCTTCATGGCTCTTAAATCATTCCCAAATATGTACAATCTCAAAGGTCTATCTGAAGATATATGTTGGTGTAAGTCAATGAGCTTATGGGTAGTCTATATGATGCATGTCAAACACTGATTTCTATATAGTGAGAAAAATCTCTGGAGGCAACACAAATTTATCCTTACCAAAAAATTGGAAGGTTCAGGGTAGTTTTTCCTTTATTCATTTACCAATGGATAAGCTGAGGCAAAGAGATTATGTTATCTGCTCAAATGGTAAAGCAAGTTCCCTAAAGGGTTCCCTAGCAATGGCACAGAGAGTAACAAACAAGACACTATGAAACTAGCACCAAAGATCTTAAGGGATGTATATAAATACAACAACACAGCGAAGGTTAGATGAGGTCCCTGGTCCTGAAGGCAGAGAGGAGGGGCAGAAAGAGAAATGGAAAATATTTGGTAAAGGGGATGTTTAGGGGGAGGAATGGTTCTCATTTGTAGGTTTTCCTTTTAGTCCCTATCTTTTACAAACACCTTGTTGATTGTGCATTTTGGAAATGCACTTTACTACACAGAATTTGCATTTATTTCAAAGTGTGCCTTTTTTACTCCCAGAACAGGAGTTCACTCGGACAAATGTCCAAGCCATACATATTCACCTGAGTAGTCTGACCTGTCATTCAGTAGATGTTTTCTAAATACTTGAAGAGTGAATGAATACACTAATAAAGTGATAAAGTGAGAGGTATGGGCTCAAAAATACAAGGAAAGGACAAAACTTCCAATTCTCCAATTGCTCCAGCAATTAAGCCTCTCTTCTACATAGAAGCAGGGATTTGCTGGAGAAAAAGACTGAGTCATTTGCCTGTGTTATACTCCTGTTACTATTAAGATTATACTTGTAACTTTTTTCTTTTTTGGTACCAGGGGATCAAACTCGCGACCCTGGGCTTGCAAGGCAGGTGGCGGCACCACTGAATTAAATCCCCAGCCCACTTGTAACATTTTTTTAAGGAGAATATTTTAAAAAGAAACAATAAAAGCTGCCTATGACAATATATAAAAGTAATGAAATAATTTTTAGATGAAATTTTTTTGGAGTGGAATGAAATCATAGCACACCTTGATGAAAATTATCAGTAATACGTGTTTTATGAAATAATTCATAGATAGCTGCTTAATTTTCTATGCTTCAGCTGGTTTTTAAATGAGATCCTTTTGATTTGAGCAATGGGGCAAAGATGAAGTTTCCCAACAAGTACCCTTTGATTTCTTAAACTATATTGCTTCTGATGATGGAATGGATTCTGAGAAGAATAACTGTATTGTGCATCTACCATGTTAGGTATTTTACATACACACTCCCTTAAACTTTCTAAAATAGCATACTGTCCTCATTTTACAGAAAAGGAAATCAAGGGTCAGAGAGGTGACATCACCTCCCCAAGCTTACACAGATGTGAGTGTGCGCCTCCTGAGCCCCAAGGGTTCACTCTTTCCCCGAAGCATGTGAGAAGAACCTGAAATCATTCCCTTTGCTCACCTGATTTACAAGCACATCCCCTATTCTCTTCACAAGGAAGTTCTTTTCACTTTTATCCACCAGAGATTCCTTCTTCCGCTCCAAGATCCTCTGAAAGAACTGGCTATGAATACTGATTAGCTCATCCAAACTTGGGAACAGTTTTTCCACCATCTGCTGCTCAAAGAGGAGCTCTGTCATCATCCCCCGGCTGTACACATCACTCATGATCTTGAGGGTGCGCAGGTGATGAAACTCTGTCTGCATCAACTCTAGAAGGAAGAAGGAGATTGAGGGTCCTTCAAAGATCATTTAACTCCAGTCATAAGGTGTGGAGCCCAATTTAAACCTTAAAACTGGGTCAATGGCTGTATTTCCCCCAAGTAGTCTTTTTTTTTTTTTTGGTACCTGGGATCAAACTCAGGACCTTGCATTTATGAGACAGGTGGGGCACCACAGCCAAATCCCCGGCCCCTCCCCTAAGTACTCTTATCTTTCACATAACTGAATACTCTTTTCTGATGATAGCTATACTGGATTCTGACAGTTTTAAATAATGGTTTCCAAAGAGATCTTCATTGGATTCAGCCCCTCTCTTTTTGAATGTGTTCTTAGTTCCTATAACTGACTTGTGTTCCACCTACTTTCCACTGTGGCTGAGGAACTACACTGCATTTTCATAAGAGATCTCATTCTAGGACGGCTGTACACTAAGCACTCATGTTTCTAGTTAAATGTTCAATAGAACAACCAACAGGGTAAGAAAGAAGGATACCAACAAGACCATGTTTCCATACCACAAAAGTTTTAAGAAAAAACCTTTAAAGCACCCCATACTCAAAAACTAATTTTTCATAGCCAAATAAATCACCAGCTTAAAAATGTTTGACAATGCAAATAGAATACAAGCAGAGCAAAATAAAGAATCTTACCATAAATTACTTCTTGTCGTCTGACCACATCTTTCTTTTGCTGTTTCAGAAACTTGCTGTCCACCACCCGACTCCAGGACTCTGCTTCTAGCTGTTTGGAATCAATCTCAAAGTCTCCCATTAGTTGTCCTTCATTCATGTCTGTACCTACTCCTCAAAATATCAAAAAGTCAAATGAGAACCTTGGCTCTGTGACCTCTAAAAAGCCAGGCTAGACTTTTCTAAAGATGATAAATTAGACCCAAGTACTCTGAACTGATACAGGGGACATTCATGGAAAGCATATCCTAGTACTAGAGAAGAATTAATGTCCTGTTTGGGAATGACAGACTATATTCGAGACTGGTTAAGAATGACAAACATGACATGAATCAAACATTATTAAGATATAATTCCTACTATCTAAAAAGGACCTGCTACTTTTACATAATTGAAGAGAGGAGACTTACAATTATGCCAAGATAGCTAGAAATGAAAATGTACAAAAGTCTAGGGGAGGAAAAAGCATTTGTAGTAAAGAGTATGCCCACATTAAAATCAATGCCATCTTTCAAAGGACAGCTCACAATTGGCTAAGAGTGATTACCAATTCATTAAAATGCATTTGAAGATTTATAACTTAAAGAATCTTCCAAGTAAGGAAGATGCATTAACACTAGTATTTACAACACAATACAGTCTTTACAGAGGCACGTAATACTGTATAGGCCATGACTCCCTCTTACCCTCATCAGTAAGTGATTCTGTTGACTCATTGACCTTGCTGATTTTATTTAGTGAGTCTGTTGAGTGAGACAAGAATTTCCAGGTATTTGACATGTTCTCCTCATTGCCAACTCTGAGAACGAAAGTACATTTATATTGTTGTAATATACATTGTTAAGCGTGTTCATAAGCCCCCACCACCACCACCAAGGATCAAACTCAGGACCTTGTGCTTGCGAGGCAGGCACAGAGCTAAATCCCCAGCCTGAGTGTTCATATTCTTAAATGAGTACCTGAAAACCCTAAATGGTAGCTGGAAGTTCTACTATGATTCAAGACAGACTGTTTTAGGTA